TCTGCCATGGGAAGAGAGCGCAGGTTGGGACAGCAGCCCCCGAGCCCCAGGCAGGAGCCACACAGAGGGGCTCCAGTGGAGTGCGGGGGCCCCAGGCAAGGGCTGAGCAGTTGTGGAATGGGGGGGCCGTTTCTCCCATAGCCAGGGACCCTGGTGCCACATCACAGGGAATCAGGGCAGCCTAGCTCTACAGGAGGGTCCAGGATGCGAGAGGGGAATTCCACCTTCCTTGTCTGGAGGGGTCAATTCAGGAGAGCCAGGCCAGCTGGGCGCCCAGTCCATAGGGCTGCAGGTTGGCAGGGCCGGGGGAGCCAGTCCCGGGAATGGAGGGGTCAGTTCAGGGGAGCCAGCCCGGCCCCACACCCACCTGTTGTGGTGAAGGTCAGCGTTTACACCTTCTATCTCCAGCGGCAAGGTCAGCACAAAGATGTCCAGGGTCACACAGAGGTCGCTGAGGTCAATGCTGGCCATAGCCTGGCAGGTCTCCAGGCAGCTCAGCACTTCCCCTGAGGAAGGACACCAGGAGGTCAGGGGAAGGGGCTGGCGTGGGGGTCCTGTGCTGAACCCCGCCCTGCTCAGACAGGTGCAAGAGGCCCCTGAGGCAAGGGGAGCCCAGGTCCTGCAGTTCCTGTACAGCACCCTGGAGCCACTTTCCCAGGGACCAGGAGGGCTGGCTGGCGGCACCAGCATAGTACTGGGAGAGCTCTGGCCTCCAGCCTGGGAGGGAACCTGCCTCAAGCGAGCAGCGTCTGGGGCAGAGGGGGAGACGAGTGCGCTGTGCTCCAAGGGGCTCCACTCACCCAGCCAGCAGCCTGGCACTGACCTGGGCTCCGCTGGAACCCTTCAGCTCAGGATGCAGCCAAGGCCCCAGCCCTGGCCGCCCGAGGGCGTGCTCTTACCCAGGCAGGTGGGCAGCGACCGCACGGGCATGGAGCTGTGCTGGGTGCGCAGCTTCACCGAGCAGGTCAGGTGCACGAAGAGCGGCGGCATCTCCTGCTCCAGGAGCTCCTGCTCGTTCAGCGAGTCCCCGCCCAGGACGCTGAACGAGTCGTCGTCATGGTTGACGGTGTTCGAGTCCGAAAGGGAGCCCAAGTCCGGGAACTCGTTCTCCAGCTTCTCCCGATACTCCACTTCCAGCTCCGGGTCACTCTCCGTGGCAATGCAGCAGCCAGACACGGTCCCTGCGCACACACACAGCTGCTCCACTCTAGCACAGCGTAACCGCACCATCACCCTGCTAGCGGGGACGCAGCTCACAGCAGCAGTGCTCCATTGCCAACATGGCCAGGACTGGCCCCCAACGAGCTGCACTTATAAGTGCAGCTACACTAGGGCTTCTGCCCGTACAGCTACGGCAACTGGGGGCGAGATCTTCACACTGCTCCAAGAGCGACGCTGGAACACTAAGTGCGGCCCAGCCGAGCTCCCCTCCCTTGTGAAGTGTGGTGGAGTCCAGCCCCCCCGGCACTAGTGCCAGGCACATGCTCTCTGTAGGGAGGACAGAGAGTTACCTTCTTCCACTGCCAGTTCAGCCTCCGACCCCTCCATGTCCTCGCTGCCCTTCCTGTCTGCCTGGTCCCGGGAG